GGTTCGATGGCACCTACTTGTAGTCCTGGCTACTCAGGAGGCTAAGGCTGGAGGATTGCCTGATCCCAGGAGGTTGAGGCTCCAGTGAGCCGTGATTAAATCACTGCACTTCAGCCTGGGTGACAGAGTGAGACCTTGAAGAAAAAAAAAGAGAAAGGGCAACACTATACTGTTTTGTACTACTATCTTTGCTAATAATGAACTGTATTTTAGCCTTATGACAGCCATCTATACTTATGGATGCTCTAAGAAGAAAACCATCTGAAACCCACTATTCTTTTAAAGATGTTGATTAGGACATTTTTACCACGTTACACATCTCCTTCATAAACATATAGGGAATGAACTTTTCTCTGGTTTATTACAGGAATAATTATGCCTCTCTTCAGCTCTCTGGAGTACCTGGTTGGTTTTTATTGTATGGCTCCTGTGACTCATGTCCTGACTGATTGTGTTCTCTTTGTTGTTGGCTTTAAAGAGCTTCAAGTCAAATTTGAGCCCTACTTCTAATGGGTATTTAGAAAGGACTTTATGATATATGCTAACCTCACCCGTACAGACTTTCTTATTTTCCCTTAATCACTTACCATTTTGTCAGGTTTTATGTATACAATTCCAGTCTGCTTTAAATCCATTGTGAATAAAGAAAGGTATGCATTAATAAATTTAGAAGTTAAGCAAAATAATATTAGAACATATGAAGAATCTAGTAACCCAGATTTGTGTGTGTGTGTGTGTGTGTGTGTGTGTGACACAAGGGGAGACAAGTATGAATGTGTAACAAAACATTGAAGTTTATTTAATGATTATCCTTGTGTGTTGCATACTGGGTTCACAGTCAGCAGTAGATGAGTGACAGTGACATCCTAATATTGTAATAACTGCCTCTAATGATTTTTATATTTCACGTTTTTTTTTTTTTACTATACCAATGCTTTTATAAAAATATGAATTAATTTGATAACTTTGGAAGACTTAATGTGAATTCACAATTGGGGAAAACCTTGTTAAACAATATGTCCTGAATTTTAGTTTGGAGAACCTGTTTATCATAAAAATAATTTCATTTTATGATGCTGTTCATGAAAACAAGGTTTTACTTGTATCTCTAGTTTTATAAATGTGATTGAGAGGAGTATTCAAGCTTTGCCACAGACCAAGCTCCTTGCCAAACCCACTATGAAAGTTATCACATTTAATCTTAACAAATACCCTACAGATTAAATATAAACATAATACTCATTTCATGAAAGAATTTAATTAACATCCTCAAGATTATATAGCTATTAAGTGGCAGAACTGGAATTAAAATCCAGATAGTTTAATTCCAAAGTCCCAGCTCTTATTTAATCACTGCTGGAATATCATAAACATGTAATAAGAAGTTGTGATGGCTGGGGTCTGTTGGGTACTGATTAATTCTAGCCTGCCTTTTGCTGAATAGATTCAGGAGTCAAACAGAGATAAAAATACTGACTTTGTTACTGGTAAAGCTGGCATGCAAAGTGGCTTAGATGGGCAACTCAAGTGGGCTTCTTACTTCTGCCCCAGTTAATTGAACTTGCACACTCAATCAGTCAGATCAGCTAGAAAACTGCTGCTCTTCCTTGCTCCCCAGCAGGCTTCCAGTGGAGGAGAGAAAAAAGTGCTCAGCTTGTAGGTATCAGGCAAACGCTGAGGTGGAAAGTTGAAGAAGCTGGGTCCCACAGGAGCAATGGCCATTTTTCCAGTCTCACTAGAGCTAATTTAAGAGTACTGGGTTTAGAGATAATTATACATTTTCTTTTCTTTCTTTTTTTTGTTTTTTTTAAACTGAGTCTCTCTCTGTCACCAGGCTGGAGTGCAGTGGCGCAATCTCGGCTCATTGCAACCTCTGCCTTCTGGGTTGAAGCGATTCTCCTGCCTCAGCCTCCCAAGTAGCTGGGACTACAGGTGTGTGCCACCACACCCAGCTAATTTTTGTATTTTTAGTAGAGACGGGGTTATACCATGTTGGCCAAGATGGTCTCGATCTCTTGACCTTATGATCCACCCGCCTCAGCCTCCCAAAGTGCTGGGATTACAGGTGTGAGCCACCATGCACGGCCATCAATATACATATAGTTGCTACTTTTGAGAGGGAAGAAGTTACTAACTTAGGGTTTATAGGAACAGTGGGAGTAGAAGAGAAGAGAACTACCACCCTCCTTTATGTGGGATAAGAAAGGAGTCAGTGAGAGTGTCATGACAGAGTAATTGCTTCTTAGTGGTCCCTAACAGGCTCTTGAGTGGGTGACTATTTAAACCAATACTTGAAGAATGAGGATTTGGCTATGGGGTGGGATGGGGGTGGAGAAGAATAAAATCATCGGAACCAGGAGCAACCTGTCTGAATAGTTAAAAGAACTGAAAGGAGTTAGCCTATTCAGAACATAGTGAGTGTCTGAGAGAGAGGGAAAGAGAGCATAGGAGCAGGTGGAATAATCACTAGTGGCCAGATCACCTGGGCCTTGTAGCCCATCATGAGAAATTTGCATTTTACTCTATATGCCAAGGAGATTTCTTGATGGGTTTGAAGCAGGGGAGTGGTGTGATCTAATTAGTACGTTTATTTTTATTTTTTTATTTTTATTTTTATTTTTATTTTTCATTTTTGAGACAGAGTCTCTGTCTTCCAGGCTAGAGTGCAGTGGTGTCATCATGGTGCCCTGCAGCCTCAACCTCCCGGGCTCAAGTAATCCTCCTGCCTTAGCCTCCCAGGAGCTGGGCATGGTAGTCCATGCCTGGCTAATTTTTTTTTTTTTTTTTTTTTGAGATGGAGTTTCATTCTTGTTGTCCAGGCTGGAGTGCAATGGCTTGCTCTCAGCTTACTGCAACCTCTGCCTCAGCCTCCTGAGTAGCTGGGATTACAGGTGTCTGCCACCACATCCAGCTAATTTTTAAATTTATTTTTTAAATTTTTAATAGAGAGAGGGTTTCACCATGTTGGCCAGGCTGGTTTCAAACTCCTGACCTCAGGTGACCCGTCTACCTCGGCCTCCCAAAGTGCTGGGATTACAGGCATGAGCCACTGTGCCCAACCAATTTTTTATTTTTTGTAGAGACAGGGTCTTACTATGTTGCTCAGGCTGATCTCAAACTCCTGGGCTCAAGCGGTCTTCCTGCTCTGGCCTCCCAGACTGCTAGGATTACAGACTTGAGCCATTGTGCCTGGCATATGTGTATTTTTAAAAGACTGTATTGGATGCATTTGGAGAGCATATTAGAAGGGGGCAAAACAGGAAGCAGGCTGGTGACATGGGCTAATATGGTAGTGGTGAAATGAAAAGCAGTTGACTTTGAGATGTATTTTGGAGGTGAAAATCATGAGACTTGCCAATAGATTTGAATGGGACCGAGGAAAGGGAGAAATCAAGGATGACAATCAAATGTCTAGCTCCAGCAGGATGAACAGTCCAGATAACAGAAACAAGGAGAAGAATAGTTCTGGGTGTTTTGAACTTGCTATGTTTCAGGTGCTTATGTGTCTTATGGAGACATCACATAGGTTTCAGAGAAGAGATTTCAGCAAGAGACATAAATTTGGGAATTTTCAATATATAGATGGCATTTAAAGTCATGGGCATAGATGAGATTATCTAGAAAGAGAATGTGGGAGAGAGAAGAGGGCCCAGAACCATGTCCTGAAGAACTCCAACATGTAGAGTTTGAGTGGAAGAAGCACATGCAGTGGAGACAGAGATGGAGCTGCCAGAGGAACCATAGAAAACCAATAGAAATGTTGATATAGACTCCAGGAGGGGATGGACAGTATTTAGAGAAAGTGGTGACTGTGTCAATTACTAATCTTAGAAAAGTGGCCCTGGATTTGGTACCAGAGGTCATTAATGACCTTGAGAAGATAATCACTTGGAAATCTTGTCAAAATGTAGATTCTATTTTAGGGCCCAAGATCCTCCTCCTCTCCTCTTCTTCCCCTTCCCCCCTTCCTCTCCCTCTCTTCTTCCCTCTCACCCTTCTCTCCCTCCCCCTCTCCTCTCCTGTCCCCTCTTCCTTCCTTTCTCCCTTTCCCTCTCTCTCTCCCTACTCTTCTTTTTTTTGGTCTAAGTTGTCTGCAGAGATCCTGCATTTTCTAGTGAGCTCCCAGGCAATGCCAGTGCTGCTGGCCCATGGAACACACTTTGAGTAGCAAAGGTATAGATTAGTGGTTCTCAAACTGTAATATGTATTAGAGTAACATGGAGGGCTTGATAAAGTACAGATTATTAGACCCACTTCAAAGTTTCTTATTCAGTAACTTGGAGTGGTACCTGGAATTTTTGTTTCTTATAAATTCCCAGGTGAAACTGATGCTGCTGATCTGGGAACCTCTGGTGTAGGTGATTTTTTAAGAGAATTTTAACTGTGATGGAGAACAATTAAAGGAAGTCTTTTGGTTGTTAGTTGTAGGTGGTAAACAAGTAGAGCACATTTGTGCTGATGAGAATGGTCCAGTAGATAGGGAGACACTGATGATGCAAGGGAGAAGGGGAACGAAGTGAAATCCTTGAGAAGATGAGGGGAGTGGCTCCAAAGCATATGTTGTGGTCTTGAATGTTGATAAGAAGGAGCATATTCTTAGTTATAGCAAGAGTGAAGGTGGAGAAGATGCGTATATAGATTTGGGGGTAGGCAAATGGAGCTCCCCTCTTGATGGTTTCTGCTTTCTCAGTGAAGGCAAGGGCAACTCTTGAGGGAAGAGGGTGAGTTGGAGGTTTGAGAGAGAACATGTCAAGCACTCATTTTTGAGTAGGAAAATGAACTTACTAGAAGAAAATGGCAGTATTGAGAGCCTCTTTGAGATTAAGGTTAGAAACTAAGAATGAAACCAGTCTATGTGCTTCTGCAGTCTTTTTCGTTCAACCTTAGTTACGGAGAATTAAATGGTTGAGATTACCCAAGGTTAAGCTTTATCCGGATGAGTAAATCAGGGAGAGAGAAAGAAAGAAAGAAAAAGAAAAGAGAGAGAGAGAGAGATTAAGGAAATTGGGGGGGGGGGGCGGCAAGGGAGTGATTATAATCATGGAACAGGAAGGGAAATGAAGACAGAGAGGGCTGAAGGATAGAAACAAGCAATGACAATGAGGTTAACAAATTGTTGTAGTCAGGCTACAAGTAAACTAGAAGTAACTAGGTTTGTGATGAAAAGTGAGTGCTGCTGGTATTCAGAATTTTGTAGGTGGGGCAGTTTTTGGTAGGAATAAAGGTCTAGAGTATGACCATGAAGATGGCTGGATGTGGTGGAGTTTCTTAGAGAGGTCAGGAAACAGGTGGGTGTACCCTTCACCTGGATGTTGAAGTTGCCAAGAATGATGACAGAAGTGGGGAGTGTAGAGAGATCTTCCGATAGAAACTAACTTTTCAATGAATGATGGAAAATTTCAGGTCAGTGGATAACAGCAGCAGAGAAGGATAGTTTATCAGGGTTGTGAGCAGGAGGTATTTTATAGAACAAACGGAAAGTAATGGCCCTGAAGTGGGAATGGCTGCCAAGGAAGACTCTTACCCACCTGCTAGCCAGGAGATATCTGGGCTATTAGAGAATGCATCTCTAATTGCAGGGGTGTAAGAGAAGCAGTGTCTTCTAGGAATGGCCTAGTTTCACAGAGATCGAGGGAAGTTTCAGAAAAGAGGTTGAAAATTTACATGAGTTTATCACAAATTGGGATTTGAAGATTGAGGGCATAGTGTAAAGGTTTGGGAGTGAAAGGAAGGGGACTGGAGTAGGTACAGAGTTGTAAAAGCAAGTTTGGCAGGCAGAGAGTCTGGGGGAAATAGATGACCAGAAAGTCTTAGATACACTTTAGAGACAAAATCAAACAGGAGGATGAGGCATAATGGAACTGGACCAGACAATTTCTAAAAATAGTAAAAATACACATCACATTTTTGCTGTAGATGTCCTCCGTGATCTAGCCACTGCCTGCATCTCTTAGGGCATCCCTTTCCACTCTCCTCTTGCTCACTGTGCTCCACCCACACAGGCCTTCTGTCTTTCTGTTACTCACTCCAGCATGCCATACTTTTCCTACCTCTGTTTCTTTTTTCATTTGTTTGCACTTGCTCTTCTGAGAGATAGCAGAGTCAAGTGGTCAATAGCATAAGCTCTGGATCCAGACTCCCTGCTCTGCCACTTTTAAGCTTTGTGACAATGGTCAAGTTACTTAACCTCTCTGTGCTTCAGTTTCTTATTTGTAAGTGGGGGAATGATAATAGTACTTATTTCATAGGGGATTTAGGGAATTGCAAAAGCTGAATTAAGACAAATTAATGTAAAGGGTTTAGAATAATTTCTTGTATGTGTGGGTAAAGACTTAATAAACATTAATATTATCATTATTTCTTCTGCTTTAAGCTCTTTTCCTTATATATTTACATAAGGAATATAATCATTACATTATTTCCTTCCCAGCTCAAATGTGCTTCCTCAGCCATCCTAGCTAAAGTGGCATAACTCCACTGGCTTTCTGTCACTCTTTATCCCATTACTCTTTTATTTAGTCATAGTATTCCTCACTATTTGAAATTATTTTATTATTCTGTTCTGCTCTTCCCCCATTCCCTGCAGGCAGGGATTTAATTGACTTGTTTTCTACTGCATTTTAGCTCTAGAAGGTGCCAAGTACTTTGTAGGTGCTCAAGAAATATTTGTGCCAATTTATTGTCCTGAAGACTTGGTTTCCTGGGCTTCTGCTGTGATCAGGCAGCATATGTGGCAAGGTGACGGTGAGGCCTAGGCAGGGAAGACAGAATTCAACTCTGTTTATTAATCTGTTGGCTCATCGAGATCAGGCAGCTGCCAGTTACTGTAAATTTTATTAGAACACAGCCATACCCGTTTTTAAACTTATTTTCTGGCTGCTTTCCTGTTACAGCCACAGAGTTGAGTAGTTGTGACAGAGGTCATGTCTTAGGGCTTGCAAAGTTGAAAATATTACTCTCTAGCCCTTCACAGAAAAAAATTTGCTGACTCCTGATTTAGATGCAGAGAAAGACAAGGAGAGAACACTGAAAATAATAACAAGCTTTATTTGGATAGTGGGATAATAGGTCAAATGCTTTTTATCTTTATGCTTTTTTTGTATTTTGTTTTAGACCCATTTAATTTGGAAATTGCCTTATAAATACCCAAAAATGGTATTTAGAATACTTTTTTAATGGTGGTTTTTTTTTCCCCTTTTTTTCCTTCTTAGTGCTGCTTTTGACACAAAAACGGGATTACGTGTGGCAGTGAAGAAGCTATCCAGACCATTTCAGTCCATCATTCATGCCAAAAGAACCTACAGAGAACTGCGGTTACTTAAACATATGAAACATGAAAATGTAAGTTATTCATACAAGGAAGAATAAATTTGGATCCCGAATAGGCTGGGGGAAAATGTTTTAATTACTGCAGATGGAAATTCATTGGAGTGCATCAAACGTTGCTCCCTGCTTCTTGTCCTGGGGTGTCGGTGGCCACTGGGTTATGTCAGATCAAAGACTTGGAATGAAAACGACGCATCTTCCTGGAGTTCTAGTTTTACTCATAGATTTTTAGAGGGGGAAGAACTTTAAAATTTTAAAATAAAAGGATATATTATGAAGTTCAACACAAAATTCACAAGAATTTTTATTTTTATTTATTTATTTATTTTTGAGACAGAGTTTCGCTCTTGTTGCCCAGGCCGGAGTGCAGTGGGTGATCTTGGCTCACTGCATCCTCCACCTCCCAGGTTCAAGTGATTCTCCTACCTCAGCCTCCTGTGTAGCGGGATTATAGGCATGCACCACCATGTCTGGCTGATTTTTTGTATTTTCAGTAGAGATGGGGTTTCTCCGTGTTGGTCAGGCTGGTCTCGAACTCCTGACCTCAGGTGATCTGCCCACCACAGCCTCCCAAAGTGCTGGGATTACAGGCATGATCAACCGTGCCCGGCCAATTCACAAGAATTTTTAAGAGAAAATATTAAAAAGAAGTTGTGTATTCTTTGCCTATTTCTAAGTGGAAAAATCTGAGAAAGAGTGCCTTAGGCTCACCGAAAGTCCTATCAAAGATGACTATTATTTTACATATTTGTTAATAATTTTTTTTCCAGATTCAGGTATTTTAATGACTATGTCAGAGACATTAAGTTAAATATAACTTTTTCTTTTTTACCAATTTGATAATTGGAGAACATTGCATTCTGCAAAGATGCTTAGAAATTCTAATATGGTAAATAAGTGGATATGATTGGAATATTAACTGAAAGTAAAAAGACAATTGACTGAAGACACTTATTTTACTGAGTTTCAAAATCAAGTTATGAATTTCTGTGACAGCTTTATGAAAGGTACTGTGAAGTTTGTAGCATTGCGGAAACAATGGCCATAGAGATTTCAAAGTCCTTTGGCCGTACTGCTTGTCACTGTTTGGAAGAAAATTCACAGTCTGTGAATTTATTATTTGACTTTTACACTGTTTCAGTAATTTAACTTCTTCATAGTGAGAAAAAAAGTCACAGATAAGAGATTCTTCATTAGCATATACTTGTTTCATTAGTGCAAGTTTCATCTAAATTGAGAACATTAAGATTTAAATTTGTAATTGGATTATGGATGTCATTATAATCACAGCTGCTGCTTTTTATTTCCGCATTTTATTTTGATTGTATACTATTGAGAAAATCTCATTTCTACAGACAGCTTCTATTCCTGAGTGTAATTTTACGTAAGTAGCTATGTGCAAACCTGACTTTTAAGAACGTTCAGTGCAGAGCTGCAGCTTTCCTAATCAGTGACATGTTTACAAGAAGTTGAGATATGTGGAAAAAGCTGGCAGCAGAAACTTTATTCCTAGGTCTGCATAAAATCAAGGTGGCCTGGCAGCTTTAAGGGATGTGTTTGCATTTGATTTTTAACACATTGGCATGTGTATGCTGTTTTTCATTACAAATTATTATATGTGACAGAGACAGTATCACAGCTCTGCAAGTATAAAGGATATTTTGAAAAGAAAATGCAAGCCAAACATTTACAGAGCCCCAGAGCACCTTTGGGAGGCCCTAGGATCTCACTGACGTGGCTCTGCTAATATAAGAATATCTGGTTTAGGAGATTATCCATGCTATGCTTGATTGTTTTGCTTTCCTTCTAAACATTTTAAGCCAATGTTTAGGGATCATGGTATTAGAAAAATAAAATTTTATTTCCATACATTGTTTTACAAGTGGCTTGCTTACTAGCAGTCTTTTTTTTTAAATATAAAGATGTTTAAATTCTAACAGTAGTTGGTCAGCTAGATATCAGTGATTTGTTATTTAAACAAAATAAGGCACATGGCTGAATGTCTCACAGTTCTCTATTCCATTGGCAAATGTTTGAAGCCAAAAGACTTGACTCAATATAGAAAAATTCCTGCATTTTAGCCTATTTTAAAAACACTTGTTAGGTGTTTACAATGTAAAAGTAGTTTTACCCAATAAAGAAGCAAGACTTCCAGTAAGTTTAATTGAGGGTTTTCAGAGAAATTCCTCTCCTTTACCCTCCTCTTCTTCTTTTTTACAAAATTACTGTTTTGGGTCATCATCCAGTTTTTATAGAGGCCAAACCTCCCACAGGCAGCAGCAATAGGATCTTAAAACTTGTGAACATTTTGAGTGTTGGTAACAAGTATAATTTTCAGGTGCCAGAGGGCACATGTGATCTTTTACACAAAAATGCCTCTGACCTACAGTCGGTAGTTCATCTTGAGTTGTCTCTTCTGTTAGTGATCATGAATGACAGATATACATTTATTAGGTGAGTGACTGAAGCTAGGGGATCCCTTCTGTGATTGTGAGATTTTCTCTTTGAACGAAGTTAGTTGGCTCATTCCTGATTGAACTTCTGACCTTGATCTCATTAGCACCTGCTCTAAGGAAAGATTAAAGGGAGGCAGCCTGCCAGCTACCAGCTGCATCCTTTTGCTGTCTAGGCAGACACTGCAGAGATGGCCCACGTATGGGCCTAGAGATCTGTACATTTTAGAATTTAAAAATGATCAAGGAAATTCTTTTGTAAATTTTATTAGGAAGCCTTAGATTTTTAATCTTATCATTGTAGACCAAGTGATTGTTTTGGTGTGCTTTTGTTAAATATGCTAAATATTGTCTTTGATTGGATACTGAGTTAAAGTATGTTTTTTTAGATGTGTGCTGATTTAATAAAAATGTGACTTATCTGTCAGGTTTTGGATCATCATGGGATAATCATTAGAGATATTTGCTGCTTATTTGTATTGTAAATGGTTTTTCTTTTTCTCTTTTTTTTTTTTTTTTTTTTTTTTTGAGACAGAGTTTCGCCCTGTCAGGAGGCTAGAGGACAGTGGCACGATCTCAGCTCACTGCAACCCTACGCCTCCCGGGTTCAAGTGACTCCCCTGGCTCAGCCTCGCGAGTCACCGGGATTACATGGATGCCCCACCACACCCAGCTAATTTTTTGTATTTTTAGTAGAGACGTGGTTTCACCATGTTAGCCAGGATAGTCTCCATCTCCTGTCCTTGTGATCTGCCCGTCTCCCAAAGTGCTGGGATTACAGGCGTGAGCCACCGTGCTCAGCCCTGTAAATGTCTTTTCTAAAAAGTTGATTCCTGGGTTACTTTGAGGTGACTGAAATCATGTAACAGCAGAAGGAGTTAAAGAAATAGACTACAATATGACTTGAATTAGAAGGAAATTTCCATTTAATAAGTGAGAAATGGCTGGGCACAGTGAGTGGCTCATGCCCGTAATCCTAGCACTTTGGGAGGCCAAGGTAGGTGGATCGCTTGAACCCAGAAGTTTGAGAACTAGCCTGGGCAACATGACAAAACCCAATCTCTATTATTATATTAAAAAAAAAAAAAAGAGAGAGAGAGAGAAATG